AATTAAATGTTCCCTTGCTACTTCATGCCAGCTTATACCTTATGTATGTAGTTTGCATTATTGATTCTTAAAGTTGTCTGTCTATACATTATAATTAATCTCGAAGACTCGTAAAAATACTAGGGCCCACCCCCAGTGATTCTGATGTACTCTGTCTGGAGTATGGCCTGGGCATCGGCATTCTTAAGGAGGCATCTAACAGCATACAAGTTTGAGAACCGTTGGTTACCCTGTATGCATTAACTGCTTGTAGTCCTGAATTTTATGAAAATGTGTAATGGTAGTTCATATTTATTGAATGCTTGCATGCCCTGTTCTAAGTTAACATATTTAATCCTCACTATCTTTGGAATAGGTGCTTTTATCATCCTCATTTTACAGATGAGGAAACTTAGGCACAGCAAGACTGAATAATTTCCTTAGGTCATAAGGCTTGTATGTAAGGAATGTACATATTATAGCTCCTATATAAAGAGGATAATAAATTAAAATTTTCCATCAAGTGCAGTGGCGACTCTGTCTAACATAGCGAGACCACATCTCTAAAAATTTTTTTTTTTTGCAAGGCAAGAGAAACGAAGTTTATTAAGGAAGGACACGATAGGTTTACAGAGCAAGAGCAAGATGTGCTCGCCACAGAACGGTGAATGGGCCTCTTGTAACAAAAAGGCCTAAAAATTTTTTTTTTCCTAGTAATTTTTGGATGAAACAGAACAAAGAAACAATCCCTCCACATGGAGAGGTAATATTTACAAATAACAAATAATGAAACTACTGGTCCTGTGTTTTGTTTATATCTTCATTAAGAAGAATGATTTTCACTCCAAAGTGCAGATTCAGAATAAGCATCATAAGGAAGAACGTAAAACTCAAGCTAAAGGAGGAACTGGTAAGAGGTCTGAGTCATAGAATTTTAAAACCATTATGGGTATTCTAATATTTAAGTAGGACAGGCGCTGTGGCTCACGCCTGTAATCCTAGTACTCTGGGAGGCCAAGGCTTTACCTCAGGGGTTCCAGACCAGCCTGAGCAAGAGCGAGACCCTGTCTTTACCAAAAATAGAAAAAGTTAGCCGGGAGTGGTG